CGCTCTGCACGCGCGGCTGGCGCTGTGGCCGCAGTGTCTCGTGTCTAACGATGCCCTCTTCTCGTTTGAAACAAAAGAAAATAATGCATTGTGTTTTTTAAAAAGACTGCCTTCCCTGTGTACCCCGGAGGGTAAGTTCATGGAAGTGGCCCGCTGCTGGCGAACTCTGCGACGGTTCAGAATGAAGGACCCCTCTCCCCGTTAGTTAGGAGTCCGTGACCTTGTACATGACCTGGCGCGGCGCGTGCAGACTGCTTGACTGTGGGAAGGTAGATGCTTGGGTGCTCTTCAAGACCTGTCTCGGGTTGTTTCTGTTCTCGCTGGGACTCAGGTGTCTGCTCCCGGAGTATTTCGAGCTGAGGCTGTGTGTCCCCTTGGCTCCAGTTCCCGCCCGCAGCGCCCGCTCTCATCCAGACAGGCCGGCAGCGAAGGCCAGGCGGCTCGGGAGGTGGGAGCTGGGAGCTGGGAGCTGGGCCCGACCTCTTTGCTTTGCCCGTGGCACGTACCCCGTGCTGTGGCCAGGATGTCCACACGAAGTCAGGCTGATGCCAGCTGGCGTTCAGCTTGTCGCAGCACCCTCCCTGGCACGTCCACAGCATCGTGACCCTGAGGGAAGCTGCTCTGTGGTCTAAGTCACGGTGCCCAGACAAGTGAGGAGCAGGCCACCCCTGGGGACCTCCGTCTCTTGGAGACTTGGTCAGGCCTGATCCTTTTGACCAGAGATCCTCTCTTGGCGGGGTCAGCCTGGGTGGAGCTCAGGGTCAGGGATGGACTAGAGCAGTGGGTTCTGCAGGCTGCTGGTCAGGGGGCCCTTTCCTGTAGAGAGGGTCTGTCCCCTAAGATGTCCATCGGCCGGAAGAAGAGCCCATTGGATTTATACAGATCTTTTCCCACTCAGACTATCCTCAGTAGAAGATACTTCCTAATAGTTTATTTTTTGTAGTGCGGGGTCATACGTTGTGCTTGTGAGAGAAAATGATCATTTTATTCTCTGTATAAAAACCTAGCTGTATAAACTTAGCTCTAATGCAAAAATTAAAGAAGCAAGTGCAGGCAGGATGCCTCGGCATCCTCCAGACTCAGCAGTTCCCGTTCTCGGGAGTGAGCACACCGTTCTGCTGCTTTGTTGTGAAACATAATGACAGTGGAAGTCACAAAAATGTCCCCTGTCCAGCCCCCACCACCCTTTTACTCCCGCAGACCGCGTGTATATTACTGTCTCGTGATGTCGTTGCAAACGTGGTGTGTGCTCGCTGAACGCGCTCCTCGCCCGCCGGTGGCTGCATCGTGCTGTTCTCTCCTCCAGGCTTGGGAACCTCTCCCCCCTTGGCACTCCGATTAGTTTTCAGGTCTCTCTCCCCTCTCCCCTAAGATATCTTATTTCCTTAGGACAGAACTGTAGGTACTTGCATTGGTTGGTTTTTCACCATTGCTGCTTTTTATCCCCTCCCCGTGACCGCCAATGCTCATGCTTCAGGACCTTGTTTGTCGAACATGTTGGTTTCCCTTTCTCTGTTATTTATATAAAAATAATTTATCAAAAGGATATTTTAAAAATCTAGTCTGTCTTGAGACTTGTTTACCTTGAAATGATCAGAATCTCAGTGTTTGAAAGTATTGAAGCACAAACATGTATCATCTCTGTACTGTTCTGTACTGAAGCACTCGAGTCTAATAAACAAATCAGCACCCATTTGCCGTGTCCAAGGTGACTCTGGGCTGGTCTTTCTGTGGGAAGTGCAGGGAGAAAGCTTCTGCAATGTTCTGTGGCAGAGTCCAGCCACCCCCGGCCATGGCTTGGAGTCTTCTGGATCCAGGTCTCTGTTCCTTGCATTAAGGTCTGTAGCTGTCACACATTTGAGGACAATCCACGAAGCTTGTCTTCAGTTCCCGGCCAGGGCACATGCCCAGGTTGCGGGCTCGATCCCCAGTCGGGGACGTGCAGGAGGCAGCTGATCAATGATGACTCTCATCATTGATGTTTCTCTCTCTCTTCCTCTCTCTGAAATCAATAAAGATATGTTTTTTAAAAAAGCAGCAATGAGATGGTGTCACTGGGGAAGATGATGAACTGTGGACCCAGAATAGGGAGCTTTGGAGAGACTCCAGACAAACTCCAGAAAGGGGTATCCTTCAACCTGCAGCATCCCCTTCCCCACCCTCACCCTGGAAGGCTGGCCGGGAAGTCCAGCTGGTTCCTCTTGCCGTGTGACTGCAGCAGCATCTGTAAACCTGGCCCTGAGCCCCGGAGCCACCGCGGTGCTAACTCAGGAGGGAGTACGGGTCCCAGAGCTGATACCTTCCGTGGACCTTGGAGGTGGCCACTCACCAGTGCCGGCCTTGCCAGAAAGAGGGCAGGTCCCCTTTAAGCCCTGTCTCGCTCCCTCGGTTGGTTGCTATGTATGAGACCGACTTCCTTAGCAACCACTCAGCCTTTTGAAGGAGTCCTGGAGTAGTGGGGGCCACCAGCCATGGCTCCCAAAAAGAAGGCAAACAAGGGGGCCAAGGAGCCCGACGGCAAGAAAAAAGGTGGCAAGAAGGACCCGACCATGGCCTTGGACAAGGCCTTAGCCGAGGAGATCCGGGAGTTCTACCACGTCCAGATCCGGGACCTGGAGGACAGGGTGGCGCGGTGGGTGGCCCACGAGGCCGGTCCTGCTGGGTCAGAAGCTCCGCCCAGAGCTGGCCACTGGGGCTCAGCTGGGGATGGGTGGGGAGGGGGTGTCTCTAACTCTCCCAAGACAGGTTCACTTGCCCATTTTTCTTATTTTTAAACTAAGTTTCCTCCCAATTATGATGCATTACTTCAGTCTCTGGGTGACCTTTAAAAGACAAACCCTTTTGGTGATGAGTAGGCAGCGGTCCCACGTTGCAGATACAGCTAATGTTGCGCCGGACGGGTCCTGTGCTGGTGCTCAGTGTCCTTGGAACAGTGCCACAAGAGAGGCTCTGACGTCATCCCCATTGTATAGGTGGAGGGACCGAGTCTCAGGGAGGGGAAGTCACCTCCAGGAGGAAGAAGTGCCAGAATGGGAGCTCTGGCCCCGACTTCCCAACGCCAGGCTGCTTTCTTGCTCCACAAAGCAGGTCATTCAGCTCTGCCCCCTGCAGGGCTCTGCATGCAGTAGCCATTCAAAAGATGTTGGTTGGGTAACTTCTGATGTAAAACATCTTTCCAAATAACTTCTACCAATTATTCCATTGGAAACCAATAAATCAATTATATATTTTTTTTCTTGATTATTGAAAGTATTACAGATGTCCCCTTTGACCCCTCCACCCCACCGTAGATTTCACCACACTACTGTTTGTGTCCCTGGGTTATGATATATGCACATAAGTTCTTTGGTTACTCTCTCCCACCCACCCCTGCCTTCTGAGATTCGTCAATCTGTTCCATTCTTCTGTCTCTCAATCTATTTTGTCTGTCAGTTTATTTTGTTCATGAGATTCCACATATGAGTGAGACCATGTGATACTTGTCTTTCTCTGCCTGGCTTATTTCACTCAGCATACTCTCCAGGCCCCTCCATGCTGTCCCAAAGGGTAAGAGACCCTCCTCTTCACAGCTGCGTAGTATCCACAGTGTGAATGTCCCACGGCTTTTTATCCATCATCTACTGATGGGCACCTGGGCTGTTTCCAGATCTTTTCTGCTGTAAAAAGCGCTGCTATGAACATTGGGGTGCATAAGTTCTTTCTGATCGGTGTTTCAGGATTCTTAGGCTATATCCTAGAAGTGGGATCACTGGGTCAAATAGCAGTTCCATTTTTTATTTTCTGAAGTAACTCCACAGTTTTCCACAGTGGCTGCACCAGTCTGCATGCCCACCAGCAGGGTACTAGGGTTCCCTTTTCTCCACATCCCAGCCAGCACATGTCGTTTGTTGAGTTATAGATGGCGGCCACTCTGACAGGTGTGAGGTGATACCTCGTTGTAGTTTTAATTTGCATCTCTCTGATGATTAGTGACTTTGAGCATTTTTTCATTTCTCTTGGCAATCTGTATGTCCACTTTGGAGGTGTCTATTTAGGTCCTTTACCCATTTTTTAATTGGATTGTCTTCCTTTTGTTAAATTTTATGATACATTTAAAAATTCATAAGCTTCAAGCTGAGATACTGGATTGAATGTATTTGGGGAAAATGCATTTGGGAGACAGTTATTGGGTGCTTACTATTGGCCAAGCCCCTCTTCCAGGCCCTGACAATATAGTGGTGAAGGAGGTCAGGGGTCTGCCAAGAGGAGAAGACAGATACACCAGGTCTTGACTGCCCAGTGGGACAAGGGCCCACAACTGAAGGGCACCAAAGAGAGGGTCACAAGTATGGTTCAGGGCCAAGAAGGTTCCACTGAGGAAGCAACACTCAATGGATGAAGGTAAGGAAGATAGCAGGTGCAAAGGCTGGGGAGTGCAAGGTGCAGAAGTGCTAGGGCGGGCACAGAACTGACTGTGGCAATCTGTGGTTCAGCCTCAACTTTGGGGTCAGGTTGACTTGAGTTCAAGTTCTGGTTTTGCCACTTACTAGGAGTTTCATCCCTCTGAGCCTCCGTTTCCTCATCTGTAAAATGGGTGTTATCATCATAGTACCCACTTCCTTATAGGCTGTTGTGAGAATTCAACAAATACACACTGAGTACCTACTACATACCAGACATTGTCCTAGGTGTTGGGGACACAGCTGTGAACACAAGAGACAAAGGTTCTGCCCTCATGGAACTTACATTCTAACGATGTGAATGTAAAGCTCTGAGCAGACACTGGCTGCGGTTCTGAGTGCAGGTCAGAGAGATGAGACTGGATTATGACCATGAGGAACCTCAGATGCCCCTCCATGGGAGGGTCTTGAGGAGCATGCGCAGTTGCAGAGGCCTGGCTTGTCCAGACCCCTGGAACTCTGCCCCGCCCTTGCCTCAGGTACCAGCACAAGTGGGATGAGCTGGCCGTACAGGAGAAGCTGTTCCACCAGGAGTTTGAGCAGCTGGCCAACAACAAAAAGGAGATCGTGGCCTTTCTCAAGCGCACGCTCAACCAGCGGGTGGATGAGATCACCGACCTCAACGAGCAGCTCCAGAGCCTGCAGCTGGCCAAGGAGATGGAGAAGGACGCCTTTGAGGCACAGCTGGCCCAGGTGCGCCATGAGTTCCAGGAGACCAAGGACCAGCTCACCACGGAGAACATCATCATTGGTGAGGGGGGCTAGGAGCACATGCCATAGGGCAGGGAATCCAAGACTCTGGCTCTTTGGGCTCAAGTCCTAGCTCTACCACTCTCTGGCCTTGGGCAAGCACTTCTCTCTGACCCCTTTTTCCCATCTGGGAAATGGAGATAGTACGTCTACCTCGAACAATAGCTACGTGCTGCTTCCCACACATTATCTTCCAGAATTGTCCCAGCAACCCTATGAGGCAGGAAATATTCTCCCCCATTTGTAGGTAAGGGAGCACCTTAAGGTGAAGTGTCTTGGCCAAGGTCACCCAGATGGTGAGGGTTGTTTTGAGGCTTAATGACAGTTTGAGTGCCTGGCCCAGAGAAGGTGTTCATATGGAGTAGCTGTTGTCACCATTGCTTTTATGAGAGGGGAGTGGAGGAGCGTCAAGGAAGGCTTCTCAGAGGAGGTGGAACCTGAACGAGTCTTGATTAGTGGAGGGGAAGAGAGAGCTTTCCAGACTAAAGCACTAAAGGTGAGCAGGACTGAGTACAGGCACAGGGGTCTGGCCCTGCTGGATCAGGAACCACAGGGCAGGCAAGAGGAAGTGGGGAGGGAGGGGCATCGCTCCAGGCCCTTGCTGCGCCCCGGGACCTGCCCTCCCCATCAGCCCCTCACTGGGCCTGTGCCCTGCGGCGGGGCAGGGGGGAAGCTGGCAGCCCTGGAGGAGTTCCGGCTGCAGAAAGAGGAGCTCATGGAGAAGTTCACATCGCTGGAGGACCAGCTGCGGAAGCAGGAGAAAGAATACAAGGACTACGTGTACAACCTGGAGAAGAAGTCGGTGCTGGACAAGGACAGGTAGGCAAGCCGGGTGCTGGGGCCTTCATCAGCGGGGCAAGGCACAGCCCAGTCCTCAGACCTGTTTGCCTCGGCTTCTAACTGGGGGCACTGCACTAGCTCAGACTCCCCACCCTGCACCCCAAATCCCGGCTGGTCTATGGAGGGTGCGAGAAAATGACCAAGCGCCACAGCTCCAGTCCTCACACTGCCATTGGAAAATCCCTGAACTTCCTTTCGCCACATTTTGTAACTCGCCATGCTTATGTCCTAGGTAACACACTGACTTAGTTCATAGTTCCAAAGGTACTAAGGGTCTCCAGTGAGCCTCCTGCCCATGGCCTGCCCCTCCTGGAGGGACGAGCAGAGGTGGCCCTAGGTGCGCTGGGGACCCCCCCATGGGAAGGGGTTGCTGAGACCTGTGCCCACCCACCCTGGCTAGAGTGAAGAAGGAGATCATTCAGCGTGTCAACACGGTGGCCACTGACTTCCGCAAGGTGGCCACGAGCCAGATGTGGGACACAACAAAGCGGGCCATCCTGGAGAACAACACTGTGACCCTGCAGCTGTCCAAGGTGTCCCAGCACGGCATACAGCTGCTACGCGAGAATGACCAGCTCAGAGGCACCCAGGACAGCCTGGGCAAGCAGCTGGAGCTGCTCAAGAACGACAAGAAGGCCATGGCCAAGCACAGCAGAGGCCACCGGAAGGTGTGCCTGCCAGGCCCTCACAGGGCGTTCAGCACCTGACGCAGGAGGGAACCCTAGGGGCCCTGCCCTGAGGGCAAACAGCCTGGCAGGAGTGGACCTGGCCTGGAGCCAAGTCAGGAGGGAGGCAGCTGTGAGGGGACGGGCCCTCCTTGTGGGGGCTCCAGGGTGCTGGCCCCAGCTCGTTTTTCTTGGTTTAAAGCCCCCATAACTTGAAGTAGAACCCACTCCCAGAGAGCTGGGGCCTCTGCCCAGCTGCCAGCCAGAGATGTGACCTCTCTGTACAATGGGGTGAGCCCTGGCAGAGTCTAGACTGGGGGAGTGGGGCTGGCTGAGGGCCCACGGTGGGTCCAGGGCATGGCCACCTGCTCGCACCCGCAGCTCATCCTCATGCTGACTGAGAAGTGCCACCAGCAGCAGCAGAGCAGAGCGGAGGCTGAACAGCTGCGCCTCCTGCTGAGCCAACTGGAGCAGAACATCCTGCAGCTGCAGAAAGACAAGGATGAGCTGAGGTGTGGCCCACAGAGGGGTGAGCAGTGGGAGCAGGCAGGGGCCCATCTCCTTATGGCCACATGTCACAGGCCAGGGACTTCCCCTCTCTAGAGGGGCCTCGAGGCTTCCTGTTAAACAGGCTGAGGCCTGGGGCTGGATGAGGGTCCCTGTGGGCTAAACAGCAATGGCAGGGCCCATGGCCCTGGAACTGGGAGGTGGCTGACTCTGGTCCCGGGGCCAGGAGCCAGAGAGACCAGCTGAACCTGAGGCTGGAGCATCAGCAGGCAGAGTCGCAGCGGCTACAGCAGGAGCTGACCGAAGAGCAGAAGGTTCGGGCAAGCCTGGTGACAACCCTGGCCCAGGCCACCACCTTCCTAGAGGACATTCTGCAGGTGAACAAAAAGTGGATGAAAATGAGGGGTGAGGGGAGCGGGCCAAGGACAGAAACTGCTCGGAGACAACTGGGCCACGTGGAGGAGGCCAAGACACTCTCCGGAGAGACTCCTGGCAAGCCTGTCCTCTTCTGATTCTGAAATTCAAAGGTCCCTTCAAGGTCTTAAAGGAACTGGATGGAGTCCTCTGAAGACCTGGAAGGCTTTGGGCCTCAGTCTTCCCTTCCCACCACAGCCAGGGAATACTTTTCAAAAACAGGCACTGGGTTGGTTCCCCAAGGGGGGTGTGGGACCACCATGGGCCTGACCCCCGCGGGCCACCCCACCCCGCCGACAGATGCCCCTGGAGGAAGAGGACGACAGCGTTTACGTAGTGTTCCAGCTGCAGCGCAAGGAGATGCTGCAGCAGCTGCTGGCCATGCTCAGCTCGGCCTTGGTCCTACGTCCCCAGACGGTTGCGCCTCCCTGCTGGGAGATCCAGCCCCGTGTCTCCAAGGAAAGGTGAGTGACCTTTTGTGACCTCAGAAGCAGCTATGGGACTTGTCTAAAGGCTGTCCTCAGTGACCCTAGGCCAGAATTTGGGCTCCCCACAGCCTCCTCACTTATGAAATGGAGGTGATGACACCAGGCCCCTCCCCGCAGCCAGTTCAGCACCCAGCCGTCCAAGACTGGGTCTCTGCTGCAACAGCTGTCCAGCATCATGCCCTACCAGCTGGGAGGCCTGGGCCTGGTGCCTCGACCGGCCAACATCCCACCCAACCCTGAGGACCTCAGGCTGCTCTCACATGCCAGCCGTATGAGAACATTCCATGCACACAGCAGCTCTGAGGTGAGAGTGCCTGGGACCCAATGACAGTAAGAAGACAGCCAGCCCGGGGTGCTGATCATGGCTTAGCTACACTGCAGCTGTGTGGGCTTGGGGATGTGGCTGGACCTCTCTAAGCCTCCATTTCCCCATCTGTGAAATGGGCTGAAGAAAGATGTGGCAAGTCCTCAGTGGGCTAAGGAATGCCCACACAGCCCCTGGGAGGGGGGCTTGCTGGGGCCCCTACTCCCCAGGTAGGAGAAGGGTAGGAACCCTGAGGAGGCCTCAGCTTTCAAGTAGGCATTTTTAATCTTACAGATCGACAGCCCTGGTTTTCCAAAAAAGGTCAAGAAGTTTAGTCTTCCTGAAGTTTCCCTACTTTCCAAGTAAGACACAGAGAGTAGACCAACCCCTGTTCCAAAAATGGACCTCTCCGGCCACAGTCCCCCTTTAATCCATTGGAAGCCTGGAGCAGCCCAGAAAAGTTATATAAAAAGTGGATACCACAGGTTGGAGTGGCACGTCTGTGGATGTGGCTGGTGTGTGGGCATGGCAGGCGGGCAGGTAGCCGTGTCCACTGGTGTCAGGTGCCTGACAAGGACCGCTGGATTCGTTCACGGATGTGATCCAGGAGCAGGTCTGTGGCGCGCTCCAGCAATGGAGGCAGCAGCTCCTGCTCCGAAGGGGAGAAGCAGCCCAGCACGTGCGCCTGCACTGCATCAGGGTGCGCCGGGCGCCCAATGCCCACCCGCAGCCGTGGCATTGCCTGTTGAGGAGCAGAGAGGCCCAGGCAGCTTTGATGAGGAGTGCCCACAACTCACTGGGCCATGCCAAACCACCCGACCCAGAGCAGAACGGAGGGGCGGACTCACATTGGAGTTGAGGCAGATAATGCAGGAACGAACTCCATTGTGGCCCCTTCAAGGGATACAGGAGGGGCAGTCAGTGCTTCCCTGGTTCAGCACCCTTCCCCCCTCCCAGCCCAGGCGGGGGTCGGCGCCCCTACCCCACTCCAGTTGGGAGGCCAACATCCCTATCCCATGTAGACTGGCTCAGGGCCTCACCTGGCGCTGCCCCCCAGCTTCAGAGCCAGTTTTCCCAGGGGCTTGTCTAGCTCGTCATGCACCAGGTAGACCTCCTCAGCAGTCAGCCCCAACAGCTCCGCTAGGCGCAGGGAAACGGTGGCTCAGGTTACCGCTGACCTGCCCAAGGGCGTTTTCCCGACTCACAGCTCCCATAAAGAGGAGCCGCAATGAGCCCCACTTCACATATAAAGAAACGGAGGCTCCCACAATAGCCGAGGCCATAGGGCAAATGGAGATGAACCCGTCTGCCACAGCCCAGAACCCCCTCTGGCCCATATGCCCTCCGGCCTGCCCACCCCTGGTGCCCACAACTCACCGGCCCGGGCCACGCTGCGCCCGTTGGCATTCATGAGCCGCCGCGGCCGAAGCAGGATCAGCTGGGCATCCCCGAGCGAGGCCAGGGCGAGGTCGGCGACGCAGCGCCGGTCGCGGGCCCAGCTCTCCGCCACACCCAGCCGCTGCGCCAGCTGCCCCAGCACCGCCAAGCCCACGCTGTGCCGCGTGCCGGGCAATCCGGGGTTCCCCAGGCCGGCCACCTGCGGGCGGCACCAGGGAAACTGAGGCCCGACGCTTCTCGCCGCTCTCTCTCACAACGCGCCCCCGCCCCGAACCCAAAGCAGGAGAGTACCGGAGAGAAGGGGCGCGACGAGGCGGCCCAGAAACCCTGGCGGCTCCGGAAGGCTTTGTGGAAGCTGGCGCCGGGAAGTTGGGAGCCCGTCGCATATCGGACCCACTTCCAGATTAAACAAGGAATTCGAGGGGCTTGGCCCGGGAGACAGTGGCAAACCTGGAGTTAGGCCCCGGGAGCCCCCACGTCGCTCCCCTCACTCCACTCACCAGCCACCGCTTCCCCGGGGGTCGGGGTTCCAAAACGCACAGGCTCATGGCCGGGCTCAGCCACCGCCCCGCGCGACTGAGGCTGGGCCGCGGCATGCTGCTCCCACTCAGGGCCCCGACCCCGCCCGTGACGTCAGCCACTCCTCGGCCAATCGTGGTCGTCACCTGCCGCCAGCGCCCAATCCGGAGCGGGCCGCGGGCCGCCATGCTTCTGAGGGGCGGAAGGGGCGGGGCGGTGGGCGCGTCTGGGCGCCCCCGCGCGTTCCTGGACGCAGCGTCACCGCGGCCCGACGGGCTTCGTTGTGGGACTCGCGAGCTCTTGCTTGATCTCCGGATGGAGAGGAGGGAGGCTTGTTCTGGCCCCCGCTGTGGTCCTGCTTCGCTGGGGAAACCCGGCAAGTCCTTTCTACGCTGTAGCTTCAGCCTCCCCAGCTAATAAAAATCTGCTACCCTCTTCCCCGGCTCAAACAGCCCTTGGAACCCGGGGGCGGGGCCGGGGGCGGGGCTTGTGGGCGTCCTGGAGATGGTGCCTAGCAACGTCGGCGGCGAGGGCGGCGGGGGAGCCGGCTCGCGCAGTTCCGCAGGTCTTTCTGGAAGAGGCCTCATGGCAGACCCCAGAGAGGTGCGGGGAAAGCCTACGGCCAAGGCAGAGGGTCGGGGGAGAAGAGGCGAGTTCGCAGGGAAGGTTTTGAGCACAGGAGAGGCAGGATCAGTTGTGCAGCTCAGGAAAGGGCCAGGTCGCTGTGCAGAGGGCAGACTGGGGACCGTGGCCGGCAGGGAGGTCAGAGGGACGGCTGATGCTGGCGTCCTGGCGGAGCGGCACTGGCCCAGATGAGGGGGTGAGAGAAGGGGGGAACCAAGAGGGCTTTAGGAGGCGGCACAGACAGTGCTTGAGGACTGATGGGACGCAGGTCTCTGGCTCGAGAGGTGGACTTACCAAAGCGGGAAAGCTAGAGCAGGAATCGGCGAGGTGCTTCGTTTGGCCTGTTGGGCAGGAGGAGCACCCGGGATATATGTTAGGAGCTGCAGGCCCTGAGCTGGGGACATTAGAGTGCTGGGTGTCAGTAGCTTGAGGTGAATGCTGAGGGGAAACAGGAGGAGAGCGAGGGCAGTGTGAGCGTGAGAATCTTGACCCCTCACCTTGGCCATAGGGGAGGAGAGAGGAGGACTGAGAGAGAGAGGTTAGAGCATCCCTAAGGGGCTGGGAGTGCCACCAGACCCCAGATTTTGCCGCCTACCAGGCCTCATTTCCACCCCTCTTCCATCCTGTGAAATACCCGACCAGAGTGTGTAAGTGGAGTGGGGTCATCTGGGGCCTGCTCCAGTTTGCTGTCCATTGGTTCTAGGGTACCCGGCAGCTTCCTCAAGCTCCCTCACAGCACATCCCAAAGCCACGGGGAACTCCACTCCCAAAGGAGACCATACGGCGCATCTTTGGGACCAGCCAGGCATTCCAGAGCTTTGAGGAAACGAGACCAACAATCGCTGGGTTAACAGTTCCCCTCAAAGTCAGGGAGTAGTGAGTGACTACCTTGTCCCAAGGTCCCTGGTTTCTATTCTGCAGTCACTGACCTGCTGTGCAGCTTTGAGCCAGTTACTTTCCCTGCCTGGGCTTCGGTGAACTCAACTGTGTAATAGGGCTCTTCTGCCTCAGTGGATAAAAGGCTGCTGCTGGCCTGGATGAGCTCCAAGAACCTCGGTCTACCCTTCCTGTCTCTCCACCCAAGTGCCTCCCACCCACTCACACAACCCCAGCTATATTCCCTGGGCTGGTCAAAGTCAGGGCCAGCCCCTCTGCCTGTGCCCCCTCTCCCCACAGCCACCACCGAGGCTACAGGTGCCTGGAGCGAGAAGACTGGGAGACGGCGGTGCTGTTCTTCTCCCGTGCCCTCCACCTGGACCCCCACCTGGTGAGGGGAGGGTTTGGGCACACGCAGTCTCTGGCACACACTTCCCCCTCACTGTCGTGCCTGTCAGGTTCCTCCTCTCAGGGCCACCAAGTCCCTGCTGGTAACAGCATCAATCCTCAAGGTGGACTTTTGGGAGGGGACAGCAACCTGTCCCCTCTCCCTCAGGTAGACTTCTATGCCTTAAGAGCCGAAGCGTACATCCAGCTCTGCGACTTCTCCTCCGCCGCCCAGAACCTGCGACGGGCCTACTCCTTCCAGCCAGAGAACACTAGGTTCCTGAACCGGCTCACCTTGGTGCTTTACCTGCAGGTGCCCGGGGCTGCCCTGGGCCCACGTGAGGGGCCCACCTCCCACCCAGGCCCACCCGATCTCCCTCCAGCTATGGGGGCTTTCCTTGCTCCTGGGACTAGTTCTGACTCCCTGGGGACTTCCTTGTCCCTGTGTCTGTGTCCCCACTTGCTGCCCCTCTCATGACCTCTCCTACCTCCCAAGCAGGCTTACCATCAGGGCTGGGTAAAGTTTTGTAAGAGTATCCAATAGAACTTTCTGCAGTAATGACAGTGACCTACTAGGCACTGTCCAATCTGGTAGCCATTAGCCACATGGAACCGTTCAGTCCTTGAAATGTGGCAAGTGTGACTGAGGAACTAATTTTTAAATTGTATTTCTTTTTTAAAAAATATGTTTTTTATTTATTTTAGAGAGGATGAGAGAGGGAGAGAAACACAGATGTGAGAGAGAAACATCGATCGGTTGCCTCCCATATGCACCCCGACCAGGGATCGAACCCACAACCTGGGCATGTGCCCTGACCAGGAATAGAACCAGTGACTTTTTGTCGCACAGGATGACGTTCAACCAACTGAGCCACACCTGCCAGGGCTAAATTGTATTTAATTTATATTACATTTATATAGCCACATGAAGCTGATGGCTATTATATTAGACAGTACAGACCTAGAATCTACAGGCTCTAAGTATTAAGAAGGTAATAGCGGCCCCATTTGCAATTCAAAAAAACCCCAACAATATTAAACCATAAATACCAACAAAGTCCTGATTTTTTTTCCATTTTGATAGCTTTGATATCTTTGTTTTTAATGTCAATAATTATTCAATTCTTGAAACATTTGGGGTACCCAAACCACATGTTTAATCTGTCTGTTGTGGTCCTAAGTCCAGTACTGACACTTCCTGTGTGACCTTGGGGAAGTTACTTCACCTCTCTGAGCCTCAGTTCCTTCATCTAAAAGGGGGATACTAGTTAGTACCAGTGAAGTAGCAAGTTCAGGTTTTTTGTTTTTTTTAAATCCTCACCAGAGGACATTTTTTCCATTGCTTTTCAGAGAGTGTGGAAGGGAGTGAGGGAGAGAGAGAAATACTGATGTGACACATCAATTGGTTGCCTCCTGCACTCCCCCAATCGGGGCCAGGGATTGAGCTTGCAACTGAGGTATGTGCCCTTGGCCAGAATCAAACCCAGGACCTTTCAGTCCTCAGGCCAGCACTCTAACCACTGAGCCAAACTGGCCAGGGCGTAAGTTCAGGTTCTTAAGACAGGGCTCGGCGCCCAGAGCCCTGGTCCAGGCTGGAGCTGTTACTGTTGGTTCTGCTGTTCTTGCCTGCCTCCCAGATTTTCTCTCTTTGTTCCTGTGTGTCTGCATTGAGGTCTGTTTCTCGCCTACTGTATATTTCTCACTGTGTTGTGCTGTCTCTCCCTAGCTCTGTATCTCTCTCCATCTCTGACTTTTAAAGTCTCTCCAGATCTAGAAAGCTCTGGCCCTGTCTCCTGTCTCTCTCCCCTTCCACCCCAATGTTGCCTACCCCGCTCATGAGTGCTGCTGGGCCAGGGATGCAAGCAGAAGTGACTGGCCCTTATGTCCCCAGGGCCAGTGCCTGTTTGAGGAATGTGCCTTTCTGGAAGCCCTGAATGTCTTCTCGCAAGCCTTTGAGCTCCAGCCCGAGAAAGCCTGCTTCCGTTACCGATGGCGAGTTTCCCATTTGTGTCCTTGCCCCCCTGGTTCTCCAGCAGCCCCTTCCTGTCCCTCTAGCACAGCGATTTTCAGCTGGTGTGTTGCAAGAATTCTTAAAACATGCAACACCTGACTATTTAGTTAGGGCACTGACCTCTTTTCCCTTAGACTGTCAAACAAAACAATGGCAACGGCCAACACGACAATAGCTGTCCGGTGTCAATGAATCAAAATCATACCTATTTTTTGTCAGATTGGCAGAACATATATTTTTCGGTGTGCTGCAGCATTTTAATAATTAGTTTGTGTGCCATAAGCTGGAAGAGGTTGAAAATCCCTGCTCTAGCAGACAACACCTTTGCCCTTTGTCCTCAGCATGGCCTGTCTCCTGGCACTCAATCAATATCAGGACTGCCTCTCACTTGTCACCAAGGAGGTGAAGCACGGCACAACCAATGCTGATGTCTACATCCTCAGGGCCAGGCTCCATAACTTCCTGCAGAAGGTAGAGTGGGGAGGGCGGGGCAGGGGTATCCCTTCGCCCGGCCTAGGTTCCCCCAGCACACCTCCAGAGGATAGGAGGCTGCTAGGCCATCAGCCAGCCCAGAAGCCACATCCCCACAGCGCAGTGGGGGCACTGTCCTCGAAGGGGCAGAGATCCCAACTGGCACTGACCATCCAGCTGCCCAGTCAGCTATTGCTCCATTGTCACTTAGCCCTGGCTCTGCGCCAGGCCTGCGCTGACCCCGGAAACCACAAGGTAAGAGGCCTATGCCACCCCTGCCATCACAGAAGTCACCGCCCGGGGAGGCGCCCCTAAGCAGACACTGAGGTAGGGGATGATTTCATGAGCATGTGCAGCGCCACCCAAGAGCCACGGTAAAGTGGCCCTTCCTCCCTCCTTCCTTTCTCTCCTTATTTGCCTCAGTAAACATTTACTAAGCACCCCCAGCTGGCACACTGCCCGGGCTGGGCATGGGGGCGCACAGTACAAGGAATAGCTTAGGGGTAAGGGGGGCTTGGGGTCACAAGGGAGAAGGGGACTTTAGATATGTGAGAGCATTGGGCAGGGTCTTGTGAACTCAGGAGGACCCTCACTTCTTCATGGGGACAGTAGGAGCCTCAAAAGGGTGTTCCTTGGGGCAGAGAAGATCCTTCTGGCTGCCAAAGGGAGTATGGGCTGCAAGGGGCAAGTCTGGAGTCCAGGAGCCTGGAGGGGAGGCTAGGTGCCATCCAGCAGAAGAAGGAGCCCAGGGGAAGGGCAAGAAGGGGGCTCCACCGTCCTTGGACTGACTGGGGATGTGCATGAGGGAAGGAAGGATCCAGAACAATGGCCGGTATTCCGGCTTGGCCTGGTGCCTGGGAGTTGGGACACTCAGGAGAGGAAGGAACAGGGGCTGGGTGGGATCAGGCAGGGGTTCACCTCAGCTCACCAGGTCAGGTATCCTGGGAGTGGTTGGAAACGTGAGCCTCCCTATGCTGGGGGCTGGGTTCTGTGTCCAACAGTGAGTCAGTGGGAGAGTCTCCTTAAAGGTAGACTAGTAATTATTGATAATTATTGTTGACTGTTGGGATTTTAGCCACTCCCACCACTTCAGCCCTTGCAATTTGCATGCTAAACACTTTACTCATGTTTATCTTTTTTAAATTTTATTTTGTATTATTTTTTAATCCTTACCTGAGGATATTTTTCCCATTGCTTTTCAGAGAGAGTAGAAGGGAGACAGAGAGAGACATTGATGTGAGAGAGGCACATCAATTGGTTGCACTCCCCATGGGGCCCACTGGGGATCAAGCCTGCTACTGAGGTATGTGCATTTGGCCAAAATCAAACCTGGGACCCTTCTGTCCATAGGCCAACGCTCTAATCACTGAGCCAAACCGGCCATGGCATTTTTTTTTCCTTTGGAAAGAGGAAGGGAGGGAGGGAGGCAGATAGACAGAAACATTGATTTGTTGTTCCACTTATTTATGCATTTGTTGGTTGTTTCATGTCTGTGCCCTGACTAGGAATCGAACCTGCAACCTTGGCATATCAGGATTATGCTCTAACCAACTGAGTTACCTGGCCAGGGCCTACTCATGCTTATCTTAAAGACTCGCAATAACTGTTTCATAGATACAACACCTTGTCTTCTTTTTAGAGATGAAGATACAGGTCCAGAGGGGCTGGGTAACTAGCTCAAGGTCACACAGCCAGTTCTCAATAGCGATGCCCTTGAACCCAAGTCTGTCTACTTCAAAGTCCTGCCCTGGCCTTTCCCATCTTTCCCCTCTCAACTTCCTGGTGTCCACACTGTTTGCTCTGCTCACCCTTCAACCACTACCCTATAGGATATGGGGTGCTTGTTAAAACTTTGTTGACTGACTGACAGACCTGCTCATCCAGTAGAAGGTGTTTGCCTGGGGATGTCTGCTGCTCATGTCCAGGCCTGAATCTGTTCTTGGTCAGAGTTATTGTGGGCTTAAAGGTCAAGGGCGGAGTCAGGGAGGAAAGAATAGGAAGAACACAAGTCATGGTCAGGAGGCCACACCCTCCCCGACCTGTAGTGAGCCTCACAGAAGTCCTCCAGGAAGGCAGTGCTCCCAATGCCCTTCTCGGGCAGAAACCACCAAGGCTGACCTGGCTCACTTGAGGTCACACCTAGAAAGGGGCCAGCAGGGATGGGGCCTGGATGGGATTTTCCCATAATGTTCCCTGCCTCCTTCAAGAAGCAGAACAGGCGCAACAGCACAGTGGGGGCACCAAGGATGGGTGGCATGGTGCCAGCCTGCCCAGGGAAAGGCCCCTATGAGCCAGGAGGTCTGCCTCCCCTCACTGGACAGGGTAGGGCTCAGCTTGGCCTGTGTGCCTGATGCCACCCCTGGCCCCTACAGCCCTACCTCTGCTATCAAGACCTGCACAGTGCCTTGCTCTTGGATCCCCAGCACCCACAGGCCAGGGCGCTGCTCAGGATGATGGTAGACCAGGCCCAGAAGTCATATCGAGATGCCAGGATCCTAGCTGTGCAGGGCAAGCTGCAGCGTGCACTGCAGTGTGTCAACTGTGCCATCGACAACAACCCTTTGGACCCCAGCCTCTTCCTCTTCAGGTACTGGCTGGGGAGGTGCCAGTCTTGAGTCCAGCTATGTGGTCTCAGGAGAGCTGTGTGTAGGCCTCAGTTTCCCATCTAACCTCTACTAATCTTTCCCTACTCCCACCGGAATCAAGGCATCATGGGAGGTGGCTCTGCAGGCAGCAGCCTCAGTGCATGCCAGAAGGATCAGCCCAGTTCCGCAGACCAGGCCTGGGTGATTCTGACCCCGACGAGGACTCACCACATGATTCAGGACCATTTAACTTCCTTGAGCCTGGGCCTTCCCAGAGGAATAGTGGGAGGTAGCTGTCAGTGTTCAGAAAGGCCTTGGTGTAGAGGCCGGCATGCTCCTGGCGCCCAGAAAGAGCAGGGGAGCTATTTTTGAGAAAAATAAAGTTACTAGCAGCTAGCAGGTTATCTGAGTGGCAATCCAGGCCCCATAGGCCAAACTTATTGAGGGCTGGGGAAGCCCCCACCACCACCTCCGTGGGTCAAAAGGCCCAGAAAGCCCAGGGCGGGCAGGACTTGCCCAGCCACCCCGGTCAATGGCAGTGCTCTGGCCCCCACGTCCCTTCCCAATAGGGGCACCATGTACCGCCGGCTCCAGGAATTTGACGCCGCCGTGGAGGACCTCTTGAAGGCGCTGGACATGATGACCACGCACCAGGAGGACATGGTGCGGCAGGCGCAGCGCCAGCTCCTGCTGGCCTACAACGACTTCGCTGTGCACTGCTACACGCAGGGCGCCTACCAGGAGAGCGTGCTGCTGCTCAACAAGGTCCTCAAGGACGAGCAGCAGGAGAAGGGCCTGTTCATCAACCGCGGCG